AAAAAAAACTTTTTAATATACAACGCTTTTATAAATGGACTAAAAAGTAGAAAATAATACTTCTCAGTCCCATAGAATTTGTTTTGATAACTTTTGATTTTGAAATTTTAGCAAAAGTCATTATAAACAATTAATGACATTGAAAATGAAAAGCGTGGGGCGCATGTAATACACTTGAATTGATATGAAAAGTAACATATGTATGTATGTGGGCATATGAATAACGACGGCTTAAAATCGATCTCAAATTTGTACTTTCGCTGTAGAATGTTATGTAGTTTTGTGTTATGAAATATAATGCTTTGTACTGCATGCACTCCACGTTTTTCGTTTTCAATATAATTGATTGTTTATAATGACTTTTGCTAAAATTTCAAAATCAAAAGTTATCAAAACAAATTCTGTGGGACTGAGAAGTGTTATTTTCTAATTTTTAGTCCATTTATAAAAGCGTTGTATATTAAAAAGTTTTATTTTATTTTATTTATTTTTTATATGAATTGGGGTTAATTTTGGAATACTCTTTGGTCCTTAGGAAGTACTCTTTACACGCATGCATAGAGTAGTCGCGATTTTTGCAGGGTATATCAACGAAGCCCATTTGTTTCATCTTACATACATATATCCATACAAACATACATATAGTGTGTGTGTACGAATGGATGTAGGCAGTGTTGCCGCGCCGCACAGTGTATTATTTCCATATTCTAGAAAATATTAATTACATTATTTAATGTCGCCAAATTTCAAAACAACGTCAAAAATGTTTTTAGAAATGTCTGCTAAAGACGAAACAATAACAATTATAAAATTTAAGCCAAAGTGCAGGGCGGGACAGGATTCGATTTGGAAGATTACCGAGCGCAGTATTATTTAAAATTGTATATTTGAAACTGAATCTCAATGTTTAATTTGTCGGTGTTTTGTGATGTATGCAACAATTGCTAAAATACCATTTTCGTCTTATTTTTTTAGGTATGTTCTTTTTAATGAATATACATTTTTGGGATTTTAGTAATTCATTAATTTCATTAGACCCGTAAACTCGTTATCCGCCACTATTCGATAAAGTTTGTATCTCAGTTTATTTACCACTCCTCTTTGACTTACACAACACAATTTTAGCTGCTGGAAAGTGCAGGTTTTGATGAAATTTTCATTTTTCAGGCCTACTAGGAATTTCATTTTCTTCGAGTAATTTATTTGAATTTCATCTCGGCCGAGACAAATTCTTGTATTTCCGCTTTGAATAGAGAAAGCCTAATTCACAACCTTTCCAATAGTATCCCACTTTTGTAAATAGAGCAAGAAATATTGAACTTATAACGGAATTTCGTTGACCCAACTTGATTGTTTATCGATATTTTCCACGCACATAATTAAAAAAAAAGAAATTATTTTTGAATCCATTTTTGCCAGTTTATAATTCATTGTTATAGGGAAATTCTAAATATCAATTTTAGGCATTTTAGCATTTGTAGTTAGTTAAATATTTCAGTTTTTGCATTTTTATAAATTGCAATTATATAATAGGGTGGCGTGGCAGTAACTCTAAATGACCGATTTTTTGTAAAAAGCTTCGCCTATCTTATAACGTACCTTGTGCAAAATTTTATTAATTTATCTTCAATAGTTTTCGAATTACAGAATTAAAAGCAGATAGATGGGTTAAATCTTACACTGTGCGCCGTCTCGAGAAAATGAATTACCGCCCACAGTGGTCTTGAAACAATGATAGGTATGACTAAAATGCCAACCAAAACTGCTTGCATACCTGTTTTGGAAGGCACCCATACACCATTATGCAGTTGGAATTAAAATCATATCTGCTCCTATGCCTAAAATATTGTCAAATGAAAATTTGGAAAAAATTTAACTGCAATTGTTAGTATTTCTTGTTCAACAGAGTATTCTAAAGTTATCGTTTTGTATATTAAAGTAAAAAAAAACAGATAGTATTTTTCTCGATGATAATATTTCTGGTGTAAGCTATTTGATTGCACATCATGTCTTCTATAAGTCATCCGCAACATAAGTGTAATCACGAAGAGAACAGATTTAAAGTGTGCGCGCCTTGTGGGAGAAAGATTAAATTCGGATCGTCAAAACCTTCAGAATTTAATATAACCGGAAAATTGGAGTGTCTTATTAAAAAATACGTTAGTGAAAACTTTAGATTGACCAATTCGAAGTTCCCATTAGGCATTTGTGGTACATGTCGTAGGGTTCTCTGTGACCGAGATAAGGATATACCAAATGCAACGCGGCCTCTTCCAAACATGCCTAACTATGAAGATTCGACAAAAGAAACAAGAACAACTTCATGCTCTTGTTATATCTGGCTCACTGCTCGGCCCAGCCATCCAAAAGTTATACAAGGGAGAGCACATACCTTAAATGTATTGAGTGAAAAAAACTCCACCAATGGGTTGACTGCTTTGTCAGTTGGGTCAGAATTAAAAAATCATGTAAGTAAACTCGCTAAAGCCTTCCGAAGCACAGAAATGTCGGAAACATTAAAAATTCACGTGCTTCTAAATCATTTGGAACATTGTCTGCATTTTTTAGGCAACGACAGCTTCGGAATGTGGTCGGAGCAAGCTTGAGAATCCATTCATGGCGTATTTTTAAGATTTTGGCTCAATTATAAAGTTAATTCGATTGACGACCCTAAATATATAATCAATTAAAAAAAAACTGTCGTTGAACTTTCATCAAAACACATATGAATTTATATAAAATAATATTTTATATTGACTTTGTAAATTTATAAAATTTATGCAATAAGAATTATTAAAATATGCAATTATGTAATATTATCTCTTGAATAACTAAGTTAAAATATTTTATGCTTATATAAGAAAGTGTTATAATTATATTACCATAGACCTTCGCGATTATATAACTGGATTTGGAAAGTTCTAGATCAACATTTTATAATATTTTAAGCATAGGAGCAGATGGAATTTTATTTTCAACGAAATTTTGATCTATGATTATGTACAAAGACAGTTATGTAAGCCGTTTTGGTTGGCATTTTAGTCATAGCTATGGTTGCTTCAAGACCACTGTGCGCCCTTGCCAAAAAATTTATGAAAATGTATCCAATTTTATTTTTTTACGTATCCATCTCATAGTTTGTAAGAAAACCACAGATTTTCCAAAAAAAAACATAATTTGTAGGTGTTCTCACCCCCAAAAAAGGCAAAATGAGCTTTAAAAAAGGCATATTTTTTTTTAACTTTGTTATGTACTTCCGTAATGTAAATACAATATGAAGGCCCAGTTAAAGATATAAAAAAATACATACGGTGGTCAAAAAATTGTAGCCGAACCAATTTTTGCCAAGTTTTAACGTATATAGTTCCTTCTTTAACAAAACCCGTGTAAGTCCAAGTTTCCAAATTTGAATAGTCCACTTGCAAAGTGCGCTATGTAAATTTTTTTTGATTTTTATTTTTTGGTGAGTAACATGCCAGTATTTAAAATAGTTCCATGCAATGATGCCACATGTAGGGAAAATTCCCTACATCTTGGGATTTTTGGCTGGAAAAATGCTTACGTAGGGAAAAAGGGCATATTTTGTATATATCTTAAAATGTAGGGAGATTTTGAAATGTGAATAAATATTTGCATGATTCTGTCGTTTTTGTAAGATGAATGGGTTGACTGCGGCTCGTACAAATGTGCAGAATCTATTTTTAAATTAAAAACGTATATGGCCAATTCTGCAGGAAAGTAAACCAGCCCGATTTTGTCTTCTTTCAAATATTGAACATATTAGTGATTATTGGTATTCACTATATCTGTCAGCTGCTTCTGACACTAATTCTGATCATATCCAAACATTTTGTGTTTAATATTTTGCTCCTTTTGTCGAAGGATTTTTCACGAACCTAAAAACAGTTTTAGATACTTCATTTGTATAAAAGTTTTTGTAGTAATATTGGAAATGTTTAAGGCTAATTTTCCAAGTTTTTAAATGTAGAAATCTTTTCTGTTTTATGTTTAATCAGCTGAACTATCTAACGTGACGTTACCTGGCATTACGTTACTCAAATTTCCATTGAAAAATTTTTGTTAATATTGTTCTTGAAAGAGTTTTTAATGGGAAGAAAACATGCATTTTATGTCGAGCGTACTTTTTGTTTTGACATAAGCGCCACCAGCGGCTTAATTTTTTTTGCAAATCTATGTCCTATTACGATTCAACTAAACATGCCAAATGGGAAACAAATCAAAGCATAAATACGAGTTCTCAAAATATCTCGACCCTGGCGTCACCTAACGAGACCCATTTTGGCAAAAATGTTTCTGCAGCCAAATCGGCCTATAAATAAGTTAGATATAGGACTTTTAATTTTGTTACGTGGCAGAATTTTCGCTGGAAACACCCATATTTAAAACAATACCGTATTTTTATTCAATCCTCGTAACTAATTTAATTTTTTTAATTGTGCCGTAATAAGGTTTTCATAAAAATCTTGTTGAAAGCGATGTTGAAATGCTTATAAAGCCGCCTCATGTAAATGTGCTTTAATTTTGAAATTTTTTTTAACGCTGCTGAAACAAAAATATTGTAGGGAATTTCGTGGGTAACTTTTTGTTTGGGCGTAGGGAAAAGTAGAGATTTTTTTAGGTGATACAGTGCAAAATCTTTCTATATTCTGGAAAAAAATACCATCAAATATTAACTACTTTTGCAAAAGTCGCAATAATACTTATGTATGTATTTATACACTTTCAAAAGTCTCCATCTTCTGATGAACTTAGAAAACTGCAAGAAAACGTGGAAATTACGGTGCCTTGTGGAAGGCGTCGTAAAAAAGAAGCAGACCAATCTTCATGGAAGAGAGAACGCAAAAAGCTAAAAAAAGATAGCTATGTAAAAGTTACTGTTTCAAAACTTGCTATATTAAATTTTTATATATATGATTTGCAAAAACTACCACACTGCGATTTGGTTTTTTAATGTTATTAGCAGGGAACGGATTTTTAGGACCTAAAAACTTATAAAAAAGGCAAAATAAAATAACGAAATAGGCTGGAAAAGGCAAAATAAAATAGTGAAAAAGACAGGAAAAGGCACTAGGTGTTGCAAAAAAGGCAAACAAAGGCAAAACAAAATAGCGAAAAAGGCAGAAAAAGGCACTAAAAAAAGACGGAAAATACGAAGAACAATCAAAAAATACATTTATTTTAAAAATGTTTATATTACAAGTAAAAAGAGAAAAACTATGAACTAGTTTCATTATATGAAAAATTTGTACTTAGAATCTTTGACTATTTTATCCTTTCTAGTTTCTAACTCATAAAACTTTAATCTGTATAGTTGTAGTAACATTGAACCACAAGATGCATTTTGAAGTTTTCTGGCAGCATTTTCATTCGATTTTCGCGAAGAAAAGCCTTGAATGTACTAAATGTGCGCTCGACGTAAGTTTATACAATATGGTATCTATGGTATATGGTAAGTTGATTAAATATGGAACGTTTGAAACGTTCATATTATCAGGAATAAGAGCATTTTCCTCGCCCTTTACAATATTATCCACACCCCTTATTGTCTCCAAGCCTACGTTAGCTGAGAAAACGGATTTGAATTTTTCCAACACCAATTTGGAAAGAGGTCTCTGCGCTTCTATAAGACGCATGGGCAATGTGTATATTTTTTAATCTTAAAAAAAATTGTAAATGCTATAATCACTTTTTTAAAGGTAGAAAAGGCAAAAAAAGGCAAATATCTTAAAAAAGGCAAATATCTTAAAAAAGGCAAAAAAAGGCAACATCAAATGTGTATATATGGAATCAGGGAAAGCTAAATCGTGGACATTCTTAATCGCATATAGTCTATCTCTTTAGCAGAAAAAAAGGCAATTTCCATAACATCCGTTCCCTGGTTATTATGCTCTTGTTTATCGAAATTTTCAGAAAATAAAGAGAAATATACAATTTGGATGTTACTTGTTGTTATAGACGTTATTTTAATTTATGGCTTTCTATTATAAAATCAATATTGATAAATTTCAACAAATTAATTTTCGTGATTGCGATAAAGAAAAATATTTTGGGCGTTCGCACAATTGGGATACGATTTGCCCAAATTTTGGCAAATACCCAATCGTGTGACACTGCCTTTGAACTTGGATTTGTACGGATGATTTTAAAGATTGAACTATAAAAAAATAAAAAATAAAACTTTTTAATGTACCACGCTTTTATAAATGGACTAAAATTAGAAAATAATATTTCTCAGTCCCATAGAATTTGTTTTGATAACTTTTGATTTTGAAATTTTAGCAAAAGTCATTATAAACAATTTATGAGATTGAAAAGGAAAAACGTGGAGCGCATGCAATACAAAGCATTAGATTTAAATGACAATATTCAAACTACATACATAACATAGACCTAAAATTTCTACAGCGAAAGTACAAATTTGAGATCGATTTAAAGCGGTCGTTATTAATATACCCACATACAGTGTTGGCACTAATCGATTGATATTTTAATCAGTTAGTTAATTCGATTAAACTCAATCCGATTACAGTTAATCATGATTAATTTTAATCCGGTTAAACAGTTAATCGTAACCGCGATTAAAAACATTAATTCTTAATCATTAACCCTTAATTTGATTAAGTAGGTTTTGTGGTTAATTAATTTATGCTGAAATTTTACTGTGCACACAAGGCCAGTTAATCGGGTATGGCAAAGTCGGTTTTCCTCATAAATCTAAGCAATTTGGTGTGCATTTTCATTAAGATCTATTTGAACAGACGCTAAGCAAACTAAGCTTTAGTATCCCTCTGCACATGTGCGATGGGTTATAAAAATTCCCAATTTATGTATTACTAATAATAATAATAATTATTTTTTTATATATTATGCGTTTTTTATAAGCGTGAAACACAAAAAAAAATAACTATAACCCGTGTTTGGTTTCAAATTCGGACAAACTAGACCTCTTAATCAGATTTTTTTTCATTGGATTAACGATTACTGATTCAAATTAATTAATCGTAATCACAACCGACGATTAACGATTAAAAAAAATGTAATCATTAATCGTACGGATGATAACGATTAATTAATTTTAATCGTTAATCAGATTAACATTTTGCCAACACTGCCCACATACAAACATATATTACTCTTCAATTTCAAATCAGGCCTATTACATGCGCCCCACGCTATTCATTTTCAATCTCATAAATTGTTTATAATGACTTTTGCTAAAATTTCAAAATCAAAAGTTATCAAAACAAATTCTATGGGACTGAGAAATATTATTTCTAATTTTAGTCCATTTATAAAAGCGTGGTACATTAAAAAGTTTTTTTTTTTAAATTTATTTTATACTTTTTAGTCTTGTCTGTATAAAATTTTGCAATAGATACTAAAATAATTCAACTTGCAGTGAAAAGGGAACAGAAGACTATGCAAGCAAAATGTTGTTTGCTCACATTTAGTATATGCCTACATATGTACATACATACATATAGCAGCAATTAATTTCATTTAAAGAAATGGCGTGTCGTCCATTTGCGCTGTAGCCAGTGTTGCCAAACATGAGCTTTTCCTACCAAAACTGGTAGGTTTTTTTCCATTTGGTAGGTTGGTAGGCTTGATTGGATTTTGGTAGGTTTCGGGACAATGAGTAATAGTAATTTGCGAAAAATAGAA